GCTCTGTAGCCCAGGCTGGAGTGTAGTGGCACAATCTTGGCTTACAGCAACCTTTGCCTCCCAGGATCAAGTGATCCTCCAGCCTCAGCTACTCTAGCTGGGATTACAGGCACATACCACCATGCCCAGCTAATTTTTTTTAGTAGAGACAGGGTTTCACTATGTGGTCCAGGCTGGTCTCGAACTCCTGAGCTCAGGTGGTCCACCTGCCTTGGCCTCCCAGAGTGCTGGGATTATAGGCATGAGCCACCTCACCCAGCCAGTATTTTAAAAATACATATATATGCATACATACATGCACTCAAAGATTTGTAAGGATTTACACCAAATAAAATACAATAAAACTGTCAGCTGGTGTTAACAGTTGTTTTCCATACAAAAGTGAGATGTGTGATTTATTCCTTTTGCTTATCTGCAATTATTTAACTGAATTGGGTGGAGAACTTTTCTGCTATTTTTTTAAAAAGCCAGCTATAGCTTGACTGGATACTTTTTTTTTTTTTTTTTTACAATTTTATGACTACCAAACTTTAAAAATTTGGGTTTCATTATCATCTATGCAAAAATTTGCAAATCTAGCTCCAAACAAGTCAACTAGTAAGCTGTTTAAAACTAATATAGATTCCTTACCTACTCCAGTGATTCTGAGGTCTAGGGAAGGGTCAAGAAAGTTATATTTCTACCAAATTATCTAAATAATTCTAAAAAGCAGAAACTTATTTATTTGTGGGTAAACTCTGAACAGTGTAATTCTGGATCAAATAATAAGCATGTATTAAATTTGGGAAGATGCTGACAATTTATCTCTGGAAAAGTTGCACTAGTCATCTGGCAGACACTTTTAGTTGCCTACCCAATATCCCCTCTCACTATTAGTAATTTCCTTACTAACAAAAGACTGATTTCATTCAAAGCAGCAATATACTTTATCTCATATAAGTGACCAGAAAACTGAAAAGAACATCTGCTGCAGAGCTCTGAGAAAGATTCTGCTTTTTTGATAAGAAAGGGCAATCACAACTAATGTGGTTCTTCCTTCTACCAATGTATTCTTACCTTGGATTTCACCATATCTGAAACAACTCATGTACATAAAATAGTCTATAAGGGATTGACCAAGACAATTAAGAAATACCAACCCTGACATGATCAAGCTGCTAACAAAATGCCACCTTCCTATTGTGTGAGGAAATAAATTCCTATTTGTTTAAACTCCTAACAATATACAAGTTTTCTGGAACTTGGAGACAAAATGAATTCCTAACCAATTCACCTATTAATAGTGCATGAGACTGTCCATCGCTTTATATCCTCATCAACACTAGGTATCACTTGCTCATCTAATTTTTTTAAACAAAGTAGCACCTCATTTTGATTTTCATTTCTTCACGAGTGAAGTAAAATTTTTATTTCTTTTTTTATACTGTCTTTTCACATTTTTTATCCATATTTTTTGTTCATTACTAAATTTTTTCTTAGCAGTCTGTATACACTCTTTGTAAACTAAGAAAATCAGATATTTGTGAAATACATTGTAAAGTGTTATTAAAAGTTTGTCATATTAGTTTTACATTTGGGAGCGTGTCCGTGTGTGACCTCTCTGAAACTGTCACACAGATACAAAATCGAGATTTTAAAATATTTTCACCATTTCAAAATATAGCATGCTTAGACAAGGTGGCTCACGCCTATAATCCCAAAACTCTGAGAGGCCAGGGTGGGGGGATCGCTTGAAGCCAAGTGTTCCAGACCATCCTGGGCAACAAAGTGAGATTCTGTCACTACAAAAAAATTTAAAAATTAGCTAGGCGCAGTGGCGCGTGCCTACAGTCCTAGCTGAGGAGGTTGAGGTGGGAGAATTACTTGACTGCAGCAGTTCAAGGCTGCAGTGAGCTACAATCACACCACTGCACTCCAGCCTTGGAGACAGAGTAAGATTCTACTAAAAACAAGAACAAAAGAAAAAGAACAAAACAGTATGAAGCCTTTTTTTTTTCCTACGAAAGAATACATTTTAAATGTTAAATCAAAAGACCTTTTGAATCTGAATGCCACTGGAAGAAACAGCTATAACCAGGTAACTCTAGGGAATATACGAAAATATGAACGGAAAAACTGGGAAACAGGGGGAGGGGGAGGGGGAGATGTAGACGAAAAATTTTCAATGCCTGATGGAGGTCCAGCATTATATTACATTCCCTGTAGTGACATATAAATGTAAGATAAAGTTCTCACTCACTAAGGTCTATTGACCATGTAGAGAAAGAGCAAGCTCACAAAACACACCACGCGTACATTTGGAGATAAGTTTTCAAATGAAGCAAGGTCAAAGATTAGAAAAAACTGATTTGAAAATGACAGTAATCTATAGATGAAAACCTTCATAAAATATAATTAACTTTGAAAAATCATGGAATCATGGATAAAGAATGGTAAACTATTCTAGAATGTGGAACAACCCATTAAACAACTCTTCTTGACAGCAGACAAGAAGGTAGAAATGATGACTGGAAAGGTGAGAGACAGAATGACCAGAATGAAGTGGTTGGTACTGAAAAGTAGAAAGGTAAAAGCAGAATAAGTAGCATAAGAGCCAGATTATGGACACAAGAATTTGAGAAGAAATTATACAAAATGCAAATCTAGTCAGTGCATAATAAAAGAGAATCCAAAGTATTAGACTACCAGAAAAACTAAGTTCCCTTCTAGTTGAATGAATGCTTAATGTCACAACTTTTCCAAGTTTAACCACTTCTGGCCCTAGGAAAAGGCAAAGTAACTTATAAATTTATTTTGCTTTCCCCCCTCTCTTCCTTTAAAGAAAAAGATACATTTCAAGATTAATTTTCCACATGCAAATTAGTCACCAGTATGTGGTTTTATATTTCAGAGCTCAGTTTAAAAACAAAAAACACTATAGACTGATATATTCTGAGTCATTAGCTAGCTACCTTAATCTAACTTCATACTTGAGACATAAGGGTTTCTTCTGGAATCAGCAAATTTACCACACCCCTGCATCTTCAGAGACTGTCAATTACTCCACACCCTGCAATCACAGTGTTGTAAAAAGATTTAAGAACATCAGCCTTATACTTATAGAGATCATTTTGATAATTACTTCATAAATTACAGAGCCAAAATAATAAAGTTATTTTTTAATGAGTTATTCCGACATATTCTTTATATGTCAATTATTACCAGTTTACTCTCAACAACAAACAACAACTTTCAACTAGCAACATAAAATGGGAAAGGGTACAGAATAGCTATTAAAAGAAAGAAAATGGGCCAGGCCTGGTGGCTCCTGTCTGTCATCTCAGCACTTTGGGAGGGCGAGCAGGCAGATCACCCATGAGTTCCAAACCAGCCTAGGCAACATGTCAAAACCCATTCTCTACAAAAAATAAAAAAGTGAGCCAGAGGTTGAAGTGGGAGGATTGAGCCTGGGGAGTCAAGGCTGCAGTGAGTTTGATTGTGCCACTATACTCCAGCTTGGGCGACAGAGTCAGACCCTACCTCAAAAGAAAGAAAGAAAACAAGTGTGATACTGACATAAAAACAGCCAAATAGACCAATGGAATAGAGAACCCAGAAATAAACTCTCTTGTCAAATGGCCCTCAACAAAGTGCTAAGACTATTCAATGAGGAAGGGATCATCTCTTCAAATGGTGCTTGGAAAACTGGATATCCATGTGTAACAGAATGAAGTTAGACCCTCATCTTACACTACACGTAAAAATTAAGTCAAGATGGAGTAAAGACCTAAATGTAAAACCTAAAACTATAAAACTCCTACAAGAGTGGCTGGGCACGGTGTCTCACGCCTATAATCCCAGCACTTTGGGAGGCTGAAGCGGGTGGATCACGAGGTCAAGAGATCACGACCATCCTGGTCAACATGGTGAAACCCCGTCTCTACTAAAAATACAAAAATTAGCTGGGCATGGTGGCGCGTGCCTGTAATCCCAGCTACTCGGGAGGCTGAGGCAGGAGAATTGCTTGAACCCAGGAGGCAGAGGTTGCGGTGAGCCAAGATCGCACCATTGCACTCCAGCCTGGGTAACAAGAGTGAAATTCCATCTCAAAAAAAAAAAACTCCTAGAAGAAAACATAGGGGAAAGCTTAATGATACTGGGTTTGGCAATGAATTCTTGGATAATGCCAAAAGCACAGGCAAACAAAACCAAAAATAGACAAATAGGACTATATCAAACTTAAAAGTTTTTGTCCATCAAAGGACACAATCAGCAGAGTGGAAAGGCAACCTACAGAATGGGAGAAAATATCTGCATATCATATCTTTAATAAAGGGCTAAGTAATCATCATCTCTCCACTGTCTATCAGTAATTTTTAAATTGAAGATTGCTTCAGACCAGTTTCTTTTCCCTTCTTCAAATGGAAAATAGAAAAAAATTTAGCACAGCGCTTTGCATAGTGAAAGTATATTGTTTTATGATAGTTTAATGTAATAATACACATACACACGTAATTCAGCTATTGTATGCTGAGTTGCCTGGCAAACAAAGACACTCATTACTTAAGAATGAATGAATGAAGAATATAATCTGCACTGCTCTAACTTCAATTACTAGCTATTAATGATAATCAGAGATGATACTTACTGAGCAAATATTTTGTTAACTGTTACCTTCCCTTTTAAGGATGACAAAACCAAAATTCATTAAGGTTAGATAACTTGTCTAAATTTATACTAATAGTAAGAAACAGAGCCAAAATTCAACCTCATCCTAACACCAAAACTCTTGCCTCTTCTCTACTAAATTGTACAGCACAGAGATTTTATTTCTGTTGAGTTTTACTTTCTGTTTTTTTCCAATTCCACTCCTTTCAGCTTCAGAATCTTAGTAAACGCAGTTTCTTCTACCTGGATGCTTTCTTATGCCTTTACCCCACCCCACACTCTGACTCAGTGCCTTCAAAATAACTAAAGCCTAATCTTCTGGGCAAAGTTTACTTTTTAATTTTTTTTCAACAATTGCTCAGAGAGTACTTGTTTTCATAATGAATCCAAAATTGTCATAAGAAATGCCATCATCACAGTGGGCAAGTTTAATATCACTTCCTGAAAAGTGTCCTCATACCGTCAAATAAGTTAGGTTGCCCCCAATCACGCCCCCACAGCATTCTTTTTCTCCACAGCACATAACACATTTGTGATACCTGTTCTATGTGCATATTCTCTACCAGATTACATGTTTCTTGAGAGTAAGGACAAGATCTACCCATACATAGGGATATAGTACACCTGGAGGCCTAGTATACACTCAATTCATTGAACACTAAACAAATAGCGTTCAGTCACCCATACTAAAACCCAGTATACTGCTTTCACAACCAAATGGAAAATGGTAAGTGTTTGGGCTTTAGAGGCCAAAGAACAGACTTCTGGCTACACATTAGGGAACTGTGAGCCAATTACATAACCTCTCTAAGCCTCCTTCACAAAATAATCAAATGTATCTTGGTATAAAAATGAATGATCTCCTACCCCCAAATGTATACAATTATGATCTGTCAATCAAAAATAATAATACACTCTGGGCCATGCATGCAGTGGCTCACACATATAATCACCTAGCACTCTGTGAAGTCGAGGTGAGAGGACTGCTTGAGTTCATGCACTCAAGATCAACCTGGGCATCAGAGGGAAACTCTGTCTCCACAAAAAAATCAAAAAACTATCTGGGTATGGTGGCACATGCCTGTGGTCCCAGCAACTTGGGAAGCTGAGGCAGGAAGATTATCTGAGCCCAGGCAGGCACAGGCTATAGTGAGCTGACCGTGTCAGTGCACTCCAACCTGGGCAACAGAGCAAGATAATACACCTTAAAAAATTAACTATCCCCTTCTTTCCATTCACACTACTAATGTTATCATTTTTTTTTTTTGAGACGGAGTTTCGTTCTTGTTACCCAGGCTGGAGTGCAATGGTGCGATCTCGGCTCACCCCAACGTCCGCCTCCTGGGTTCAAGCAATTCTCCTGCCTCAGCCTCCCGAGTAGCTGGGACTGACTATAGGTGTGCGCCACCATGCCCAGCTAATTTTTCAGGGTTTCACCATGTTGACTAGGATGGTCTTGATCTCTTGACCTCATGATCCACCCGCCTCGGCCTCCCAAAGTGCTGGGATTATAGGCGTGAGCCACCGCGCCTGGCCCCTCATTTTTTAAATATAGAAAAATATATATACCAGAGTACATGCACACATTAAGGGCATACTGTTGAAGCACACACAATTTAACTGTTTACTGAGTTAGTGACGTCCATGAACATCTTACTGTGGACTGCGGTAAAAAATTTTGAGAAACACTGCTGCACTACTGCTACAGATAAACTAATATTACTTGAAAATTAAATTCCCTGATGACAGCTCAACAGGAGTAAAAGGAAAATAAATAAATTCATTGAGAAAGAGGCCTTATCAGTTTTGTGCTCTGCTATCCCCCTAGAACTTAAAATAATACTTGCTATGTAACAGCATAACCTCTCTGAATGATATATCCAGTCCCAACTTAACTTTCCAAAATCTTACAATACTCCTCCTCATTGCCATTTCCAGAACCCCTTAGATTCTTTCTTTCTGAGCGTTGACACAAGCTGTTCCCCCAGACTAACAAAAGTCCTCTTTTTTTTCAACTCACCAAACCAGTTGATTCCTTTTCACATTACACTTTATTATAAAATCGCATGATAGAAACAAAGTACACGAGTATAAAAGGAAACATAAAGTGATTATGCAGTATATAAAAAATACATTTATCATACCTTTCACATTTAGTATAGTTATGACATACCTTAAACATTTCAGTGGCAATTATACCATCTTAAAATTTAAAAGGTCTTTTCGAGGATGACTTCAATTACCAACACTTACTTAAAAATGGGACATTTGACCTAATACCTCATTTCTTTTTATTATCTATATGCCCCTTATCCCTGTAGAGGTACTTAAAAATTATACTACTGACTATTCTTTTTCACAAACAGAGCAATGTATAAAAATCTGAAGTCATCACTAAAGACCGAAAGGAGTTTTGGGTAGAGCAAATCAAGTAGCCTTGCAATACACAAATCACTTTTTGTCTCGTTCACAAATAAGGCCATCTAGAGATCTGGGATGTAAGAAGAAAAGAGACTATCATAACCAACGGTTTTGGCGGCTGTTTTTAGGGGCAAAGTAGGCTAAGTAGTCACAGGCTGACTTTTTAAAGTCTCCACATATTAAGCACTGTGTTCTAGAAACTAGACTTTGCATATATATTTACATAAATGTCTACCTCATCTTTGGATCTTTGGAAAACTTACCACTGGGCTGGAACTATACTACTTTCTTCCTCCTTTGGCTACTTTCAATTTTTTAAAAAAGTCTTATCTTCCATGGAGATTTGTTAAAACATACCACAGAAAACAGCACACACAATTTTTATCATTTGACTTTTAAACATCATCTTTCTTATTCAATTATAAGATAAGCAAGTAAAAATATTCTGAGACTTTAAACAAATGGTTTCTCCTACCATCTACTTTTAGACATCTATGCTCAATCCCTACCAGAGCTCGCAATCTAAGTACTAGTCTTCTTTAACAGAACTCCTTTCCATTACTTTATCCCTTGCTAGAGTGTGAACAGTGGAAAGTTCCAACTTTTGCAACTGTAGAATGAGATTATAAATCTAGAGGGAGGAGGGAAACCTGACAGTAGACGCTTGTTCTTTTCACTCCATTATTTAAGCTCCCATAGAGCCAAAAACACTTAAATTCCAACAGGAACTCTATACTTCCCTGTCCGAAACTTATTTCTCAAGTCTCACACTTCCTCAGCTGTAGCAAATTTTATTTCTGAACAGATTAAATCAGTTGCTAAAGAAATAATCTGAAGTCCTCAAACAGAAGGCCATATGAGTATCACACGAAAAAATAACATTTGAATCGGCATAAATTTACATGGTATTATGGCATCATCAACAATACACTGAAGAGTATTATTTATTAACTTCCAAGTATTAATTAACATAAAGATGTGATTTTAGAGTGAGAAAAATACCAGTGCTGGTCTCTAATTACCAAAGTTGAACATTCTTAAACAAATTCCCTTTAAATATCTTACCAAGATATTTGATGTCTGTTTTTTCTGTTCTACCCTATTCTGCCAAAAGCTTAGGGTGCTGTGACTTAGGGTCGCTAAAGTGTTGCTCGTGTAGTCAGACGGCCGAACGCGCCCTACAAGGCGTTCAAATGCCTTAGCAATAAAATGTATATTGTATCTTCCTAATCCTCTGGAGGCTGCGAATCTGCTCCTTGTACTTCCAGCCATCCCAGCCTCACTGTGTTCCAGCTCCGGGGAAGCAAGGGCTTTAGAATTACCCCCAAATCTCTTCCTAAATCCAGATGAAGGAGGCCCAACACTTGCCCACCCTACCTAACGCACCCCACAAGTGAAACGTGTGATCTAAGAAAAAAATACCTTGCACCACTCCACCCAACAGGTGGGAAGGAGAAAGGAATGGACAGCTGGGCGCTGAGACCGAGCCAGGCCTTAAACAGGGCGGGAGAGGGAGGCCGCGGCCACAGCGCGGCCTGAAACCCGTCAGGCCCCTTTCTGTCCCAAGAACCACTCTCCGCCCCCAGCTAATTTCAAGGAGCCCGCCCCAGCAGACCTTATGAAGGATGCCACTCGATGCCATGAGCCGAAGCCTGGGACGACCCTCACTGAAGAAGGTACTACACCGCCTCAGTCCCCACAGCCACCACAGCAGCCACCACCCGCGCCACGGCCGCCTGGTCCAGAGCACGATGCGCATGCGTCGGTGTCCCGGGAGGCGAAAACGTCACGTGAGTCTGCAGCGCGCAGGCCTGGCCCTCTCTGGAATCAGCCCCGCCCCCAGCAAGGGCGGGGACAGCTGCTCCAACCTGCTTTTTTCCCTGTGGTAGGGACTTCCCAAAGGAAAGAAGGCTGTTTCGGGCCTTTCACACACCTGATTTGAAACACAGCGCCCTGACGCCTCCCCTCCAAAAAAGGTAAAATGTCATGTTTGGGGGCAAATCTGAGGTTTTCCCAACAATTGTTCAAGCTTTCACACTAAAAAATGTACCTAAAAACGGGCAGAAATTCAGAGTTAAACCCACAAATCTCAACATGATGTAGATAGACCCTGGGCCCACTCTTTTCCTAAAAACGAAACTGTGGACTTAGGGGTTTGGAGAACGCGCTATTGTTAAAGAAAAAAGCATTTAGTGATACTCCTTAAAACATAAAAATGGGCCGGTCGCGGTGGCTCACGCCTGTAATCCCAGCACTTTGGGAGGCTGAGGCGGGTGGATCACGAGGTCAAGAGATCGAGACCATCCTGGTCAACATGGTGAAACCCCGTCTCTACTAAAAATACAAAATTCAGCTGGCCATGGTGGCGCGCACCTATACTCCCAGCTACTCGGGAGGCTGAGGCTGAAGAATTGCTTGAACCCAGAAGGCGGAGGTTGTGGTGAGCCGAGATAGCGCCATTGCAGTCCCGCCTGGATAACAAGAGCGAAACTCCGTCTCAACACACACACACACACACACACACACACACACACACACACACACACGAGAACTTTATTCAGGACCATCTCAGTAGGTATAGGGACCACTAACTGTAGTGGAGACTTACGAGTGGGGAAGAGATACTGGGCTCAACTCCCGGTACAGCATGGACAAGTGGAGATTTGTAGCCAAGGAGAAGTATTAAGTGAATGGAAAATTACTAAAAGGAAACATCAGGGTAAGGGGAATTTTGACTAAACCACCTAATAGAATTTTTGCTGAAGATAGGCCAAGATAATCAATCAGACATGGAGATTTGTGGCCAAGGAGAAGTATTAAGTGAATGGAAAATTACTAAAAGGAAACATCAGGGTAAGGGGAATTTTGGCTAAACCACCTAATAGAATTTTTGCTGAAGATAGGCCAAGATAATCAATCAGACACCACCTGGGGATGGTGGAGGCTGAGGAATCTGAACAGGTGTTGAGGATGATCAGCTATCAAGGGTAGGGGTTTA